AAACGAAACAAATATTCTTTATGTTTACCACGATTGATAAGTATCATCGTGGCCTTGTAAGCTGTTAGAATGTCTATTTTTAGCCTGTCAAAAATTAATGGGAATATTTTAGTGTGTTCCCCAGTTCTACCATTAAAGAGAATTATATCCCTCAAAATTATACTTATGTAACGCCCTTGTGCCATTATGGTACGTTGTTATTGGACTCCTGCAGATGTTCGTCTAAGGAGCTTCCTTGGACAAGACACCTGCACGTCATTTCCCTCGTGACCTGCCTTTAACCTTTATCCACCCGACTTCGATTTGCCATTCATGTGTACTCCGGAGAGTAGATAAATTTTCTCTTCGTCCGGAAGAGAATGATTTCCCTTGTCACATCGAAGTACGTCAAGGCAAACAACTTTCTTAAGCATCCTCAACATATCGTAGACTCCCTAACAAAACTCCCACCTCTTTTTCGCTAGTTCTAAGTTGTAGAATTTATGAAAAACCAATTTAACTGCAGATACTGTTAACAATATTCTTTGTATTATATTCTGTGATGTTTATGTTTGCAAATTAAGGTAAAATAGACATATTTACTTGCGACAAAAGTATGGGTCATGTTTTGATCTTATTCTTCTTCAAAATACTTGCTGTTTTTAAAGTATTCGATAAAAAAAAACTAATTTTCTATAATTAACTCTATTTTGGTTTTCATTCAATTAATCAATTACCAAGAGGAAAAATGTTATCGTAGAGTGAAAAGATAGGATTAACTGAAAAAAGTAAATTTAAATGATAGCTACGATTTTAAATTTAAAATGTGAAGTTTTTTATAGGCTGAGAGACGATTATGGTTTAAAGATGAGGACGGATAGGTGGCAACAATCTTCCAATAGAATGGCTATCCTTCACTCTACAAGGGAAATTTGTGAACAAGCCGGAGTCTAAGGACACATCCGTAATGTTCAACGCATTTTATAATAAGCCAGCCTTTTAAGGGATCGTCCAAGTCGGATCCTTAAAGTCGTTAGAACTAAGGACAAAAAGACCTCTTTCAAAAGGCCAGAAAACCAACAGGAAACGATTCGCAGCTCAACGTATTTGTCTCGTGGAAAAAGTATCTGTTAATAAGGAAAACGCGTTAAAATTTTGATGGTCCTGAGGAATTTAAATATCATTTTTATGAAATCCTGTACTTAAATAATATGATGTCTTTTCCAGTAGGTTTGACGATTTTCGTAAAAAAAGGCCTATAATTATGTGGGAGTGTAACAAATTCCTCCATAGTGTGATATTTATTAAAATGCTCCCTAAATCTACCTACCTATATGAATTTGATAAACAATATTTCGCATTTATTTAATGCAAAACATTTAACAAAAATAAATATATATAAAAGGTACCAATTATTAAACTGGAAATAGGATATTAAAAATCGGTTTTATTAGGATATTTCCAGATTCTTTTTTTTCATACAGCTCGTGGTTGAAAGATGTTCACTTTGAACTGGCATCAGTACATATTTAAAACGGGCGTTCCCCCGAATGGCTCCACCGAATTTCTCCTTTGGAACCCCTCTCGTTCTGGACAATTCACATCCAAAAGTCACAAGAAATGTACTGAAATGACGAGTGAACATTGAATTTCACACAGTTGTCATAGCCGCTGATCGAATTGCCATGCAATAAAAGTGAAAACGTGAATCATTTGCCAAAGATATAAGCAATCTCTTTTTTTCCCCGCTGCGTATACTTCTATCTAAGGCACGCATTACGCTATTCTTTGAGATATAAATGATCAGAAGCAATATTACAAAACTGAAGACTGGGGAAATATGTGAACCGTTAGAACACCTAGATACTTAATGTTTTATATCAATAATTGACAGTTATACCTTTGTTAAAAAGACTGGCCTTAGTAATAGAATATTGGTTTTCTTGGTGAATCCAAATTAAAAAAACCAAATGGGCCAAGTAAGCCAGAAATAAAAAATAAAATTTATGGCGGGGAACCCCAAATGATTAAGTATTCGGGTAGATGATCATCGATTGACTTTCAATTATCATATAATCAAACGAACTAAGTAAAACTCATGCAAGACTGCTGCCTCATTCCATTTCCAAACGAGAAGTTCGCAATATTATTGTGCGAAAGAGTCCTCGAGGACACTGACAAGTGAATATCGCAGAGGCAGTAGGCGTCTCTCAAAGAGTGGCCAAGATTCCGAGAGACTGGAAGTGCCAATAGATGGCCTGGAAGGGGATCTCAGCGCATTACCACGCTAAGGGAGGACATTAATATTATCATTGCTGCAAAATTTAACACTTTCCATAGTGGCCGCCAGATCCTACATGAAGTACATATGTTTTGGCAAAACCTTTATCAAAACAAACGATTCGTAATCGTTTGTGAGAAGTTGTCCTCATATCCTATGCCATTTTGCACCTGCAGCAACAGCCCGCCACCAGCAATTCAGGAGAATATGGTGCGGCAAATGCCTAGAAGAATATAACACAAATTGGAATGCTGCTATGTTTACTGATGAGTGGCGTTTTTGTCGAAATAGTGATAGCAGGCACCGCAGAGTCTATCGAGAACATGGGCTATGTACAATGCCCCAGTTTGTGCTCCCTTCAGTGCAGTTTGGAGGAAGCGGTGTCTGGGCTGGGATTTACACCAGAGGACGAACTGGACTCCATATTGTTGAAGGCAACCTCACCGCAGACCGTCATGTCCAAGAAAGAATACATCCCTGAAACTAGGGATCTCATAAAGGCAGAATTGTTCATCAATGTTTAGAAAACCAGGAATTTCCACATCTGCCCCTTCACCCATTGTCTCCAGTCTTCAATCCCATTGAGCACATGTGGGATGCGTTGTAAAGACGGTTTTAAGATCATCATCCGCAGCAAGTTGAACTTCAACAACGAAATTCCTTATGAAATTAGTGACAATCTTATTAACAGTACGCCTAACAAATGCACAGAGGTGTTAACTAACAGAGAACATTATACACGGTATTAATTGTTTAAAAAATTAGTGAGTCCGATAAACAAAATTATGGAATTAAAACCTTTTATTTTATTTTTCAAAATGCCTTAATTAAATTTTCCTTGTAAACGCCCAATGGTTTTATTCGCAACAGCCAACAACGGAGGATTTAATTCATGAATACAAGAAGCGAAACAATTTTATCGTATATTTGCTGCTGTTTAGCCTACTCTTCTTCAAAACGGTGACTGACAAATTGACTGTATATATTAGGAAAATGCCTTTGTACCACAAGCATATTGCCAATTAATGCAAACAATTTTTTAAAATTTAACATATTTATTACAAATAACATTAGTTACATGTAATTAGTTAAATTTACAATTGACATGGATCACGTATCGTGAGGGGAGTTAACAGCCATTGTTGTTCTCCCAGTTATACGCGAGGCCATCTCCTCTTCAAGATTATAGGGGTGGTTTCTATTGGATAAGGGATTGGGCAACACTATTGGGGTGAGAAGGGAGTTCGGTGTAGAAAGTGTAAAATGTTGTAATTATTTTTTTTGCACGAAAGGGATTTTGAAGTTGTGAAGGGTGTTTGTGGTTGGAGACGTAGTAAGGCGCATTGACTATGATTCTGAGGACCTTGGATTGGAAAGACCGTATTCTTTGGAACGTTTGGAGGTGCCCCACAGTTCCAGTCCGTGTTGTCTTGTAGATTGTCGGTATGTTTTTTCGTTGAAAAGTTAGATTTGCGCTAGTAGTCTGTAGAGTCATCCGAAATCTTGGTTCAGTGCCTGTCGTTTTAGTCGTGGGTGTTGGTTCCAGGTTAGTTTTGAGTCAAGATGGAACCCAAGATAGCGGACGCACTTACAATTACAATTCAAAATAATAGACGATTTATTGTGAGAGTTCTTCAGGTCATACAGATGATGAAGTTGGGGTGAGTATGCGGAGTCACTTTGTTAAATGATGATTCTTCTCACGGATTTGTCTGTGGGTAGAATCATTATTTACTAAACGTTCTTGAGGTCTGTGGGGTGATGTTCGTCTTCGATCTTTCTGGTCCGCATATCCTCGCTTTCTTGGGCTGCCAGACGGGTATCTTTCTTTCGCCATCTTCAGTTCTTGGCCAGTGTACTCTCTCAGTCTATCCTTTTAAGACACAAACTCAACAATGATGACAGCGAGAAACCGAAACCCGTCTGACAGATCGAAACAGCGAAGATAGCAGATCAAAATGATCGGTAACCAAGCTACAGATGATAGTCTACGAGTCGGTGAACCCGATAACAGTTCTCCACTGAAGAAGGCGTGAAGCCGAACGCGTTTGAGAGAAATCTAAACCCGTGAAAGTAGACAGACCCAATTGAATGATTAAGTGTCGGTCAATTTAACATTGTTGTATGTGTCATATGCGTGTAGAGAAGCTTTTCATGATTATACGTAAATGACAAATGCATAACAGTACAAACGATGAGTTAGTAATAGAACAATAAAAATAAGACTGTTTTGGCACTGGTTAAGGTTTTTCTTTACAAGCATGTCAAATTTCAGTTTGACATTCTCGTTTCGTGATAGGTGTTTCGAATCGTGAAAACGATTTTAATTGTCTTTATCTCTAAAAACATGCAATTTCCCATATTTAACACGTACGGTTGTTCACTTGGGGCTTTTGAACTAATTGCAGGATTTCCATTCCGTTAGCGTAGCGCGTCAAGTAGTGAAACGTATCATTTTAAAAGGCGGCGCACAGTCTATACTTCTTAAACTGGTCCATTTCTTGTTGGGCAAGCGGAGGCGACTTTCACTTTTTACCTATTGGATTCGTATTTCAAAAAAATGTATGTTGGGGCCAAAAAGCGTTTATTTAAGGGATAGGAGACCGTCAGGAAAGGTCGGTCCGTGTTTAAACGAAATGTTCTTCCTCATCGTCGGACGGTTTCTGAACCGTCGTTCCTTCTCTTCGAAGACACACGTGCTTCCTTAATGAAAATAATGAAGCGAGACAATTCAACATACCTTCATCCAAAGTCCTAAAAAGCAGAGGATCTGGATGTGCAGCTTGTCGAAATCCATCGTCCGACTGTCACTGGACAAAACTGAAGACACGGCACGGCTCAAAAAATTTCCATTTGCAGAACTTTCGGTCTTGAACGTCTGGTTTCTGTCACGGAAAAAACTCGGCTTCGACGGAATCACGAGTACGTTAGAAAGTAAAACATTTGCGTGTGTTTCGGACCACGGCGATAAGGGAAATGAACAACAAAAACAAGGGTAAAAACAAAAAACAAAACAAACAAAAAAAAAACTGGGAGGGCAGCTGTTGTCCCCGATTCCGCAAAGGAAATGAAGTTCTGAGAAAACTAAGGAAACGGGCCGAAGTAGCGAGAGAGAGCGCGCCACCATTCCACGGAGTGGGGACGGGCGTCATTTTCAAAATTTCAAGTCATTTTTTAAAACAATAATCCAAACTTCTAAACTCGAATTTTGTCAATTTGGTCAAATTTCTAAAAATCGAAATTGGCTCGAGTTGGCCCCAAGTCGAAGTCTAAGTCTAAGTTTGGGTTACAACACGTGGGGCGATCTACCAACATCCTGGCATTTCCAGATGCCACAGGTTGTTGCCATGAAAATCCAAGTGATTCTTTTCCACACTTGTGAGTGAAATAACCGTCATCAGTGCAAAATCTTTTAATAAATTAATGAAACGCACAAAAATATGATTTATCAAAAAAAAGTCTCAATGACAGAATGAAATTAAAATTTTATACTACTTGTAGTCGTAAGCATAATATTAAAATTTAAAACAATAAGTGAAATTAGTTATAATAAAATAGAAAATATGAATGATTATTGATTAAATTATACAAAAAAAGCTTATGCTGAACTGGCATTGGGTCACTTATCAATCAAATACCCCAAGGAATATTGAGTACCCTGGAATAGTATGGTGGGTGAATGTGTGAATGCAATTTATTAGCGTGAATGGTGGCTTATCCAATTACTCATCTATTAGTATGCATGGAAGGACATATTCCTAATTACCCCAAGGATTATCGAGTACTCTTGGGTAGAGCAAATTCTAATTAGACTATTGTTTCTGTGTATTTGTTTGTTATTGGATTAAAAAATAAATAAATAAATAAATAAATAAAAAAGCCCTTACCATAAAGAATTCCTTACTGAAGATGGCACAATAACGAAATGTGAGTGAATAGTTCAACAAACCTGCAAGTAAAGATGAGCCCAGTAAGTGACCCAATGCCGGTTCGGCATTTTATTGACTCGCAGACTAAACAGACACTTTAAATCAGACTAGAAAAAACCCCAATGATGTTTCTATAAATAATTTGATGATATAAATATTAACAATCAATTTAAATGAAACGGTTTATTTGATTTTATAAAACAATAAAATAAAACCGTGTATACGATGACTGAATCTTTATCAATAATTTTGCAAAATTCCATGATTTAACGGGTATAACTTTTATTTATTATCAATAATAATTACTGCATAACAAAAGATGGCAAAAATTGGAAGTTTTCAAATTTTTTAATAGTTTTTCTATTCATATAAATTTCCTTAATTATTTTTTAAATTCAAATATAATGTTATGACATTGTTTTCAACCAAATAAAAATATTAAACAAAAGATAGTTTTTACGTTCAAATAAAAATGTTTTTGCAGTTGCTCATTTAACATGATTTTTTGTTCCAACTGTTTCATTAACCTCTTTTCAAATGATTTCTGTCATCTTCGCAAAACCGAATTGACTTGAATGCAAAAATGAAAATGTTGGTTACCATTTGAAAAACAAACTTTCATGTTTCAACTTTTTTAAGAAATTGAAATAAAATGTAATTATTGCAATGTTTGAAAGTATAGCTTATGCTAAAAAAGTACCATTATCCATTATATTTAGTGGTTTATTGATCAAATTACTTCTTTCAATTAATTTATCCTATTATGTAAGGTTTTGGTTGAAATGAAAAAGCTAGTGTACCACAACTTGAGCTATCGTGACTTCTTATTATAGCTATTAGAAGTCATGACAGCTCAAGTGGTAAAGCAGAGGCATGAGCAGAAGGTCGTAGGTTTGAATCCCGCTCGTGGCACTAGCTTTTTCATTTCAACCAAAACCTTACATAAAAAAGATTAATTAATTGAAAGTACTGTTAAATGTTTTTCTTCATTCAGTGGAAATTCAAGTAATTGGGGGCAGTCAAGTTGAATACATAAATATTACGTATATATTACGTAATGCCAAATCTGTGAATTTTGTACTTGTCCGTGGCACCAAAGAAACCTCAATTGCAATGATATATAGCACCTATATAATAAGGTCACAATTATTTATTAAAAAAAGACAAAAAGAAACAATTAAAAATTTTGAAACATGAAATTACAGGATGTTAAGTTTTTAAATTCAAATATAAGCCTCAGATCAAGCTAGGCAATGGTGAGAAGCTGAAACATATCTGAGAGATCAAAACAGTGAGGATAGGCACCACGATCCGAAAAGACCAAAATGACATATTCATTACTCCCAGACCCCATGAGAAATCTCACAATGAACATGTTGCAAAATTTAATTTATTTTTAATTATTATACAAATATTATTATTTTATTATTTTTAATATTTTATACTTCTCTTGTGTAAATACTTTGTAGTAAGTAATATATCCTGTTACATGTGCAGATACAATATTATATTGAATTTATGAACATGCCAGTACCAACTCCCTTGAGAAAACCATTTCACCTGAACCCCTTAGCTTCCTAATGAGTGTAGAATGTTGAATTTATCGACAAATATAGTCTGTACATTACTTTCCAGCTATCCCTCTCAATTTGATTCCAAAGAGCCAATTTGTCAGTTTAAATAGAAATTATTCAAGATCAAAAAGTTTAAAGATTATTTTAAGGATATTATATTTGTTGGTAATTATATTATTTATGGACCATCCTCCAAATATTTTACTTCTCATACTTTTGATGAAATACTCTTGATTTTCTGCAGTATTTTCTGCTTCCCCAGTGTGTCTGCCTCTGGTGTGTCACTCAGTAAAAACCAAACAAAAGAAAACATGTTTGCGTATATGTACACATGTACACAGAAGATTGTATGCTCTTTGCCTCTACTGAAATACCAGAGCGTTCCCACCAGAAGAGAGTAAACTAGGGGATGCATGGAGGCTACTTGTCTAAATGATCTCTTATTTGAATATTAAATTTGTTTTAAAAATTATTATTTTTTTAAATGTGTTCTTAAGTTGAACTTGATAAACTTACAGAATTTCATTCCATTAATGTTAGAAAGACAGTGATCTGAGCTCTGAACTCTTAAATTAATACTAACTGCTTGACAAGCCTTATTCAAGATGATAAACAACATTTTTTTTTAATTTTAAGCCATGTAATAAAGGAATTTATGTGAGTTCAGAGGGAACAATAAAAGGATACCAGATACTCAAACTTGTTACACTTGGGACTTAAGTATATGTATGTGTGTCAAGTATATCTGTATGTCCAAAACCAAATAAATGAAGGTTAATATCTGTTGTAGTATTTTACAGTAGGTTCACCCTAGTCTTTCAAGATGGGACCACGATGGCTGAGCGGTTGGGTGGCTGACTCATTTTGTCATGGGGTGGCTACTTATGTAAAATTTATTTATATAAATAATTTAAATATATATACATGCAATAGTCAAATAATTATGACAACAATCTAATTTTGAATCATCAAAAATTTAAAAAACTAATTAAGGTTTTAAGTTGAGATAAAAGTCAGTGTCACGAATGGGATTCGAACCCACGACCTTCGGCTTGATACGCCGCTACTCTACCACTTGAGCTATCGTGACTTCGTAGCGGCGTATCAAGCCAAAGGTCATGGGTTCGAATCCCGCTCGTGACACTGACTTTTTTTATCTCAACTTAAAACCTTAATTAATTGAATGATATTAATTGGTCAAGCAGACCACGAAAAATAGTGAATTCGAAAAACCTTATTATTTCATACTGAATACACAAAAACTAGAGGTCACCCTACTTTTTTTTCTTATGCAAATGAATTTTATTGTTTTAGTTTATAGAATAAGTGTAAGAAAATTAAAATGTATTATGAGAAAATTGAAAGAACAAATCAAAATTATATTTTAACAGATGAGTTCAAATGACAACTGATCAACCACAAAAGCATAAAAGAACAAACGGGTTTTGTGAATCCAACATTATTTTTTTCATAAAAGAAAATGTGTTACCACTTAATAGTAAAAACAGCAATTCTAGTAAGTGCATGATATAGTTATTTTTATGTTTTCCTTAACAAAAAAATTTTCCAGGGCTTATCGCTTGCAGCGTTATATCATTATGCAACTATTTTTTACTTAATAAAAGACAGAAAATTTCGAATACCTTCTACAGTAACTCAGGGAGGGATCACTGTTGCTTTTGTTGCAATTTATTTGTCGTTCCTCTTCAGACAAAGGAATTTTGAATTGGTATTTTATGCATTTTAAAACATTCAAACGATATTCACATCTGGCTTGATTTTTTTTCCCTAGGAGTGCATTTTATCCTTTATGGGGAGTATAATGCATCTCGCCACAAGTGCCATCATTCTCGCTTGGTTACACTCTTATCCCAAGGACAAAATTGCGATACAAGTCGGATTGAGTGGGATTGGACTGGGTATCCTCTTTTTCATTGATTTCATTTTAGTCTTGCAGGATAAAACCATGATCTATGCTGAGACAAATAGGCTCAAGCAAATTACCTATGGCGAATAAAAATATTTTTTACACATAATTTTGTTTTTCAATTGTCATATGGTTGATACTCTTACCATTCAATGCATTGAATCAATCAACTCTATCAAGGTAGGAACAATTCTTGAACATGAAAATATTGCACTGTCTATCTGAAATTACAATATTTAATGATTATTGAATAAGAGTTGTTTACATTTAGTAATTAATGAAAAGCTATAAACAAAAATGTTGTTTTACTTTTCCAAAAAGTGAATTGCCATACTCAACTCATTCAAATCATTTCTAAAAAAATATCGTCTTAGACTGATTTTTAAGATGGTGGTATTTTAAATAAATGAACTAGAATTACATTAATATTAAGACATTCAGTAAATTTTATAAGAGCTTCTTTTGAAAATATATTAAAAGATTTTAGCTGTTGAAAGATAGCAATTCCTTCCTGCTTATTATTTAGTAATTATTATATATTATTGCATTATTTTCAAAATGTTATTTTTTGTTTTAGATAAATAAAAATTCTACTAGATACATTCAATTCCATGGAATTTTAACTGAGTCATATTTATTTCTGCTTTTTGTTTTTTTCTAATTAAATTCTAAAACATTTATCATACTTAAAAAAATATTTTTCAACTAATACATCCATATATTTTAAATATTATTATGTATATATTAATTGGCCTTAGACATTAGCCATAGTACGTAGATTATTTTTGGTATGGGGAGGGGTTCATTTTCAGCATTCCAAGGCAATGGTGGGAATTGAACTCCCGATGGCTTGATACTTGCCGAAACTATTAACTAATCTGGTAATTTCAAAATGAAAATGAACATTTACATTCTCTAAATAAATTTCATAATGATTGAATTAATACTCTATATAATTTTATTAATAATCTACTCATTTTATGAAATTTTGTTTTTGAATATAAAAAATAGCTCTTTTTTTAACAACTTCAAAACAAAAATGCAATTTATCCATCTATTTGTATGGTGTAATATGGATTGATTGGTCCATCATTTTTCACTATTTCATTTTAGTAATTTGCCTCTTTGTATTATTACTTGTAGCACTGAGTTTGTATCATACTAAACCAACCACCTAACTAGGACAGTTTCTTTTATCGTTTGCAATAATGCAAGCACAATGTGCTTATCGTTACATTCATGGTTGAATGCTTGTTTTAATTTTTCACGACGAAGTCTGAGACATATTCATTTAATGATTCCAATTTGGACATAATAGGTCAGGTGATTTCTACCCACGCTTTCCTCGCACAAAGGACATGTCAAGATGTGAGATGTAGTGGTGTCGTCGTCTCGTCTGTTTTCACAATAGCTTGAATGTCCCAAGAAAACGCCGTCGTGCTTGAAAGCCAGTGTTTTCTTAAAACATGTGTAACTGTTACAAAAAAAATTTAACTACCTGCAATATCAAAAATTAATCATGTGATTAAACACAGGAAAAATCTTTTGTGGAATAAATTTTATAAAATAAAGTTCGCTTAGAAGTCATTTTGGTAAAACTGGTTTTTAGGAGATCTTGTGTTAACATAATCAAAAACATTCGGTCATTCGTAAAAAGTGAGGAAGAGAGATGCACTCAATATCTAAATAATGAACATAGGGAGATTTAGACAAGAAAGAGAAGGCTATTTGAAACGCACGTTGTTGGAAAGGGTTTTTGCGAGATTATGTCCAAGCAGCCCACGAAAGAGAAGAAAAGCAAAGCCAAATTCGGTCGAGACATCAATAGACTGAGTAGAAATAAAAACATCAAGGGGAAAAGTATACATTTAGAAGAGGATAAGAAGAAGAAACCGCAAATAAATTTGCTCCCAAGTAAGAATGTGAATGATATCATTGATAAAATAGTCAAGGAGGGGCCGAAAAAACTGAAAAGGAGCAATGTTTCCGAAATTTCTAAAATGATTTTAGGAAATTTGGAGAACGTTCTGGGAAAAGCGAAAAAGGCGAATATAGAAAATCTAACGCGAAAGAGCTTTGAAAAGAAACTGCGAAGCCATAAGAACGAAAACAATTCGGATTCGGAAGTGATGACTATGACCTTTTCAAAAAAAAGTGGAGACAATTCAGCTAGGAGAGTCGATATGGAAAAAAACCCACCGCCTCTGAGGAAACTGCTCATTGGGAAAACGGAGGAAGAGAAAAATTTAATTTCTTCTAAAATAAAGGACATGCTAAACACTCCCCACGAAATTAAATTCGTCGACGAAGATGCCAAAAAAGTATACAAGAAAAAAGTGGTTAAAAAATTACGAGGTTTGTCGCCCATGAACAAAACGGTTTACCTGACAAAAAGTCAAAAAGCGGCGAAAGCACAAGAAGAGAAGCCCAAAGAGAAGAAAAAGCCGGTTACGGAAGAACAACTTTTGAAAAGGTTTGTCAAAAACGGTATGACGTTGCCAAATGACAAGAGTGAGCGGAAAAGAATAATATCTTGTTTATGGCAGACGAAACGATCCCTTTGGAAAAAGAGAGCCCAATTGATCAAGCAAATAGAAGAATCGTCGAGAGCGGATTTTAAACCGAAAGAACAGAAAGACCACGGAGACCAACCTTCTGATGCCGCCTCAGTGGTGAAAACATACGTCGTCCCTGACACAGTGAAAGGGGCTAAGAAAAAAAACTTGTCTCTTGTCGACAGCGTCGTTTACATAGAAGAAAAGCAGAGGGGAAAAAGCGAGAACGTACAATCCACCGCATCCCAAGAAAATTATCCGGAGACGTCGGACAAACAAGTTAAGACAGAGAGGCATCACGGACAACCGGACAAAAAAGTATTGCCTAAAGTGATGACCTGGAATACAAAACCTCCGAATAAGGAACAGCAACCGAAGGTAGCGGTTTCAAACGAATCAAAACAGGAAAAAACCGAAGCGAATAAAATGCACCATAGGATGAAAAATCGTTACACGCTTTTGCCCAATCGAAACCAACAACCGAAGAAAACTGAGGCCGTCGTTCCAGAGGTGAGGGAACACGAGTTACTAGGCAGAGAACAACTTGGAGTCCCGGAAAAGGCGTATAAACAGATCATACAAGACGTAGCTAATTTTATCAAAAAGGAAGAGAAAAAAATAGTGCAAAATCTATGCGAAAAATACAAAGAAGAATCGAAGCAGAGCCCCGAGGAAGTCGGCAATAGAGAGAACGCGAAAAGTGACGAGCGAAGTGATTTATCAGAGAAAAAGACCCAAAACGATAATCAATCTTCCGAACAGGGTTTTGAAGTTTTGCCTTCAAAACCAAAAAAGCCACAGCAGGTTAAGAAAAAGGAAAATAAAAACGTGCCTCTTCCAGTTAAAGAAAAGACAGTCAAGGGGAATGTAATGAAGAAAAAGGCCAACTCGAGACAGTTGTCAAAGATGTCTAAGACGAGGCTGCAAGGCTCCAAGAACAGAAAAAAACCTTCCGTCAAAAGCGGAACTTTAAAAAAAAAGTCTAAAAACGCGGCCACAGCTCAGGCAAAAGCTAAGACGAACGTCAAAGCGGGCGAGTTAAAAGGGAAAGCAAATAAGCCCAAATCACCCGCGGCCCAAAATAAAAGTAAGGCGAACCAAACAAAAGAGAAGGATGGCACGACAAAAGGCGTCACTGAGGGAATCGCCAAAACCACCACGGCCAAAGTGAATGTCGATCAGTCCAGCGGGTCAACTTCGGAGTTAGACCTCACGACATGCCACACCAACAGCACCGCTGGAGTCAGCGACAAACAAGCTAAGCAAGAACTGCAACGACGTAAAGCCGCCAACGCTCAACGGCTCAGATTAAAGATGATGGAAAACAAAAGGGTTTTTGCAGAAATGAGAAAGCTTCAACAGGGCGATCCTTTATTCACGAAAGTCTACAATTCAAGCCCGTTCGGCTAAACCGCTTTCGGATATAATTTGGTTTGAAATTTTACCGTTTCAAAAATTCAACAGTCTCATCGGTGTTTAATGCTCGCTTACCTTTCGTCTGATTAAAGAGCTTAAAGGAGGAAAATGTACCAGATATTTGACTTAGGCACTAATGTAATATACAAGTCTAATAAAAATTTAAATTGTTAAAGCCAATTCTTAAACTTATTTCAAAACAACGCTTTTTAATTATGAAAACTGTTTTATTTTTATTCCTGGTTTTTCGTTACAACCATTACTAGTTAAAATAATAATTAATTGTTAAATATTGTTTAGGTTGAGCCGAAACACAATTCTCATATAAGGTAGCATTTTTCGCTCACTACATACGAAGCAAGGAAATGCACTCCTCATTAGCGGAATGACACATAGAGAAACCTTTCTCTACATCCCGGACCCATATGGCGTTGGCCCAAAAGTAAGTGTCCGTGTTTCTTACTCGTATGGCCTATCCTTAATCGGGCGAGGATGACCCTTCTCCTACAAGTCAGATCCTCCGAGAGCCACCCATCTACAGTGCTCTTGATAGGTGAGAGCTTCAGTGTCGATCCGGCTACCGACGCTGCCATTTCTTTTAATCCAGTTTTAATGCATTTTTAAGGGTATAATATAATTTATAATATATAATGTATTATATTTTTTAAAGTGGCATCGGTGGCCGCAATGGTTAAGGCGTTGACATGGCGCTCATCACTGTGACGTAAAGGTCCCGGGTTCGAATCTAGTTGGCATGCATTCGAACCCGACATACATACAAATCGTTTTTATTATTATTTTTTAAATGTATTTTTTATTTTTTAAACACGGACACCCCGAGGTTTGATATGACCTGTGCTGTTGAAAATGAGTAGAGCAAGGCTATTTAGTTTTTTTTTTTTTTTTTTAAATATTGTGCATAACTTAAGTCGGTGTTTAAGTGGTCAGAAGCATGACTATTCTATTGTGATGATGATATTGTATATAAAAGTTCACTATGTATTATAAATGAGATCACCCCTTCCCTACAATTTAACGTTAGATCATAACTCCCAAAATTGTACAAGATAAAAAATAACATAGATAACACATTTCCCTAAATATGCAGCTTAAGTTATGGCTAATATGGAGGCCGTAAGGACAAAGAAAAGAAAAAGTTCATATTATCGTTAGATTTTTAATATTATTAAAAAAATTAATTTATAATAGGTTTAGGTCAAAATTAATTTTTATACCGATTATGATACTGGTTTTATTACAAAATATAACTCTCTTTTAAACTTCGGACGTTTTTAAATGATTTTACATTCATGTTCGAATAGAAACCAATATTTAATGTTTATTATTATTTTTAATTATTTTAATTAATTATACCTCTTATCTAAGGTCTTTTTGAGATGAAACAGCTAGTGTCACATGCGTGACACTAGTTTTTTCATGACAACACAGACCTTAGATAAAAAGTATAATTAATTAAAATAATTAATACGATCAATTATGACTACTAAATACATAAATGGATTATTTTTAGTCGTTTTTTAATCTTAATTCATTTTTACGGAAAGATTGCGTAATGAAGTCGAAAGAATGACAACATAGCTTTTAGAAGAAATAAGTTCAGCTGATTTTGGTTTTAACATTCAATTGTTCAAAAGTTTTGTACTTATATAAACATCTTCATATAACAAACTGGTGAAATGTTAAATATTTGAGAGAACAAAAAAAAAAAAACCTTTTTCGAATAGTAAGTACGACTTACCGTCACTAATGCCTCGACGTGATCCGTCACGTTGTTAAGCGTTGCGACTGTCTCGTGTTTTAATACCGGTGAATACAATAAGGTAACATTTTAGATAAATGCAAAAATAAAAAAAATAGAAATGGAGTGCGGCCTAGAAAGAGTTGTTATTCCGGGTGAGGACGAACCGTTGAGCGACAGCGAGATGCGCTACGGTCTCGGAGATGGAGAAGGAGAGGACTTGGACCTCCAAGCTGAAATCCCAGAACCTTTATTAAGAAAAGTAAGTCGTAGGACTTGAACTTAAGGTTAAATTGCTGTATCTAGTTTTTTTGTATAATATTTATCTCTGTTAACGAGTGGTGTGATACCTAAAGTACGCAAAACAAAAGATTTATGTTGAACACAAATTTTATATTTTACTTAAAATGTTTAAACCGTAACAAACAGCTGGTGCAAAAGGTAAAAGATTAATGGAAAACTAATTCTGGTTGAAAAGTTAAAAGTAGTGAAATTTGTGTGGTGTTTAGTGACCGTTAGTGATTATTCGGCGATCGTGAGATGCGATCTGGTATGACGTAGGTTTTAGAAAAACATTTTCTTTATCGTGATCGAATAAAGATCATCTTTATTGTGGATCATCTTCAGGGCTCAAAGAGTTTGTTTTCCATGTTGAGAGTGTCACACAACACACAAGAATGACACATCTACACGGAAAACTAACACTTTGAGCCCTGAAGATGATCTCAATAAAGATCGAAACGTTGGCACGACAAAGAAAATATTTTCTAAAATCTACGTCACACTAGACCGCATCTCCCTCTCTCCGAATAATCATAAGTCGTGAAATTGTTAATTTTTCATGAGGTATGAATTAAAAATAACCCCACATAAAATTTCAACTTTTAATTTATGATCATTTATATATTTTATTATATGTATAAATTAAAAATAGCTTTTTGAAAAAACTAGATGTTAATTATCAATACAAAAAGTTTGACCTATACCTTTGTCTCTGGTTGCTAACACAATAATTTGTCCCATACTCAAATATAACCCAAATGTTCATACATCATAGTTGAATCACTTTTATTTTAGATCTGTGGCTGCCAATATTTTCTTTATTTTTCCAGTCGTCGTCTTTCACAGAAATCGGCTTGAAAGGGGGAGAACTGTCGGATGTGCTACCGCCGTCAGAACCAAAGAAACGTTTTACCCTTTCAAGAGGAATCAATCTGAGACACGTCGTACAAGGGATAAAAAAAAGAGGAAAGCCCCATGAGACTTCGGTTTGGTCCACTTTGTACACTTATACATATAAGGGGGGGTCTCGACTCGTTTATACTCTTAGTAATTATCGGGCTCTGCCTGATCCTTCAAATGTCTTATAGAATGGATGTTTGACAAACCTTACAAACTTTGGTGATTAACTTTTTTTTCTTTAGGCGTAAATCGTTCAACAATTCACTTTTATTTTCAACCAAACGTTCTGATTTGGAGAACAGTTCATATTTCACTTTTTATAATTTAATAGGTTAGGTTATTTTTAAAACAAGCTTCGATCATTATGTAAATTTTAAAATAACAAGCATTTAAATTGAGTAATTTATCGGTATACAGGGTGGCAGCTCGTCGTGTTGTTATACATTGAAAAATATTTTCGGTGACAGTACATCTAAATTGGAGTAGAATGTCGAAAATCGTTTTATCTCAATCCGTTCAAAAGTTACGATTTATTTAGTGTTTATTTAAGATTTCTTTATATAAAACCTGAATTTTCTCCTCTTTAACTTTTCCCAATTCATGTTAAATAACAAAATTTTATTTATTATATATATTTTGTATATATATTTATTATTAGAGTTAAGTTACATATATGTTTATGTTCAATTAATTATTCTTTTTATGTGAGGTCTTGGTTGGGATGAAAATGTTAGTGTCACGGGCGGCATTCAAATCCACGACCTTCGGCTCAATACGCCGCTGCTCTAACCACTTGAACTATCATGAAGGTCGTGGGTTCGAATCCCGCTTGTGACACGAACGTTTTCATCTCAATCAAGACATTAAATAAAAAGAATAATTAATCGAAATAATTAATATGGCCAATTTCACCACTAACATAAATGGATTAATATATGTATATAAATGCGTTGTGTTTAGTGACCGTTAATTAATCTGGAGATCGTAAGATGCCGTCTTGTGTGATATGGGTTTGGAAAAACATTTTCTTTATCGTGCCAACGTTTCGATTTTTTATTTAGATCATCTTCAGGGCCTGGGATTTATAAACATTGCTTAAATTATACAAATACATGTAAGATATGAAAAATCTCACTAACACTCTCAACACGACACACAACAATGGTACATATATACAGAAAAGTTTTCATTAAACATGCGTAAACGTACAACATTGTCAAGAATCTGTGATATATCTATATGAATGTAAAATGAATGAAAACTGTTCTATGTAGATCATTTAAAAAGACGAAATATATTGTCGAAAGTTCGGCGTTAGTACAAAACCACTATTGACCTCAACCCTAATCTACAAGACTATTACTGGAATATACTAAAAATTACCACATAAAAAAAAAGAATTTCTTAGGTTTGGTAAAAAATAATTTTGTAAGTAGACGGGTAGTAGTCTTAGAACAAAAGTGGATTAACTAAAAGGAAATTCGGTGCTGAATCTAAAAATTGGGACAAAAGTTGGGGAAAGGTTACGTTAAAATGAAGGAAATTCTAGTTTTATGTAAAGAGACTAGTTTTTCTTAAACAAACACTAAAAAAATCGTAACTTGTGAACGGATTGAGATAAACCATGAGGTTTACTGCATTCTACTCCACGTTAGATGTACCGTTACTGAGAAAAAATTAAGACGACGAGCTGACCACCTTGTATATAGATTTTTTTTCTAATTTGAATTTTATTGTTTACACGAAAATGGTTGATCTAAAAAGCAATAATTGTCGCCGGTGTCGCCTTGACCAAAAGTACGTGGTCGAGACCCCTCTGTTGTAAAAAACACACCTAATGGTTTTTTAATTATTCCTAATTGCTCGTTTTACTAAGTAGGGGAATGAAACGAAGCCTGCTGGAGACGCCACCGAAGAACCGCAAAAAGGCACGAGGCAGATATATTTCAGTAAAGTTTTCGACAGGGTCTCTCACGGGTAGGAATAATAACAATAGGAATTCGTTATTGACAAATTTGCCCTGAAACCGACTGACTCTGAATTTTCACCAGGACTAACCGGATGTGGACTTCACTGGGCAAGACTTTCACCAACGGGCCGGACGAGCCGAAGGCCGGCTCCAGCAGGACCCTCGGAAGACTCTTCGGCCGTTCGCGAGCCCGTGAAACGACCGAGGAGGACGTCAGTGATTTACCAGCGACCGAGTCACGAGCGCAGACCCTCGGAAGAAAGATTTCTTCGACGTTCAAATCAATGAAAAACACGAAAAATTAACGAAGGTGCTGCGTCCATTGATGAGCCCGCCGACCAAAAATGATTATCACTTATTATTCTAAAATAAATATATGAAGCTTATGGCTGAAATTTGAAATTTTGTGAAACGTGTATCTATTTTTAGAGTATTGATCGAGTTGATTAATTATTAAGGTTTATTTTACACTCAATGATAAAATTCGTCATAACTCATAAGTAAACTAACAAACCTCAAAGGTAGGTAAACCTCAAAAAAGATCAGGAGTGCAAGTGTGTTGGGCTTTTTCTTCACCTTTTGCAGAACTTTTTACGTCGTGTATGTTAGCCCATCTTTATTAGAAGTTCGTTGAGTCTTCAATGCTCTGTCTAGAAAAATGCTAACATCCTCGAGAATTTTCTATTTTTTACTTTCAAATCTCCAAGAAGATTATTGGATTGCTCAAGTCAAACACTTAGGACTGTACCAAGTCAGTCTGACATGCATGTCCCATAAAAGACTTAAGTAACAATTCAATAGAAGACTTGGACACGATTACGAAGACTTCTAGGACCAAAATCTGACGACCGTCCAAACTAAACTAAGACTGCGACCACTTTGGACATACGGGGTGTTCTATCAAACCATCCAACATCCAGCGCATTCAACCCTTCCAATCAAAAGTCTCAGACAAATTGTCAAAGCTCGTTATCACGTCACTGATCTCACTATCCACAACGTCCTCAACATTCCTTTTTTCAGAAGAACTGATCCGTTTCCGATTTCAAAATTTTTACACCAACCTCTCGATCCATCCTAACCATACTGCTCGAGCCCTCTACACTCATTCCCATCCTGAGAACCCCCAGATCGTCATCGACGACTTCGAGACCCCTTGCCCCTTAATCTTTCACACATTTTTTATATAGGGTTGGAGATTGCAGAATTAAGACAATCCTTTCACCCATTACGACCTAAGCAGATCTATTGTGGAGGTTGGTTCTGGTTTATAGCCACACCTTGGGAAGTGCCCTTGCCTTCTAAAACAAGCACTTTCCTTGGTGCCTCTTTGCGTACCTCCTTTGGTGCGAGAAATGTCCCACCGAAGTGGCATATTTCCGTCTCAGCTTTATCCGTCTTTTTAAGATGATAGTTAAGAGAGCAGTGGCCGGTACAGCTTATAATTTTACTCAAATTCTGCCTGCTGATATATTTCTTTGCCTTCCTTTGTGAGAGATTTATAAATCTCTTAGCTGCTTCATACATTTGTCCAATTTGTCTTTCTCAATCCATTCTTCCAGTTCCAACTTAAGTACACTACGGTGCACAAGTGGTTCTGGTCCCTTGGGTGAGAGGGCTGTCCCTTTTTTGGCTGGTTGGTCAGCCTGTTGATTTCATTCTATGCCTTCATTGTCCAGGAATTCACTTGAAGGTAATCTTATTCTGTTTTCCCAGAGCTATTAGGTAATTTAGGCACTCGCAGAAAGAGATTTTGCATATTTCTGTTAATTGTTCGAGTTCTTGGACAAAATCTTTTTTCGGCAGCCATAGGCATAGCCCAAAATATAAATAACATGAAACAAATATTGTAATTGTTATAAGGGTAATAAGTTCAAATAAATATTTATCAGAACACATTTGGCGCAAAACTTTCACTGAGAGAAAAAAATCGATTGTCAAAGTTGAAATTTGTAGCTCATAGCCGCTATTCTTTATAAAGGGAGGTATTACAAAATATATCATGTACCACGGAAATCATTATCAATTTCGCCTCTTGGGAACAGGTTAATTGGGTTTATAGTCATTGCGTCAGCCGGCAAGTATAAATTTGAATCAACAGTTTTATAGGTTGATCCAGGCGGCTTTGTATATCACAATTACTCGAGCCGAGGCAAACACTTTTCGGGTCCCGGTTATCAATTCTAGCTCTAATCAACGATATACCTCGGAATTAATTTTAATTATATTTCCGAGTTAGCCTTTGGCCCAAACCAGAAGATATAGCACCCCGAGGGCGTATCCCTCCCACCTGACAACTTTCTGATTTACATCCAAACTCTCGACTTTCCAAGACAATTAAACTTTAGTCGGATCATTGCCCATTTGGGAGATTTCATTTCAATATTTTCACCCGGACTTATTAATCACGATTAAACGTTCCGCTGGTAGAATGCTTTGATAACAGTTATTAATATTGGCTGTTGAATTTTTAGCGTTTTTATATTAATTGCCTGTTTTATTTTGAACGGATTAATAAATCACAATTAAAATGAATACGATGTCCCAAGCCCGACTTAACTACTGGGTTACCTAACTACTGTTCAACCAAGAAATCATTTTAAAAAAATGTACATAAAAACGATTATTATTTGGAGGTCGTGAGATGCGGTCTTGTAGATAAACATTTTCTTTATCGTGCCAACGTTTCGATCTTTATTGAGATCATCTTCAGGGATCAAAGTGTTTGTTTTCTGCGTAATTGTGTCATTCTTGTGTGTCTTGTTGAGAGTGCTTACACGACACACAAGAATGCCTGAAGATGTTCTCAATAAAGATCGAAACGTTGGCACGATAAAGAAAATGTTTTTCTAAAACCTACGTCACACCAGACCGCATCTCATGACCTCGAAAGAATCATCAAGAAACGGTCAATAAACACCACACATACGTAAAAACATTGATTATTTTTCCTCTCGACGTATTCTTAGTTTTATGTAAAATGAGTTAGTTCCATTATGGTGTGTTACTTTAGAAAAAAAGGTTTTAACACTAATCAACCTCGACAAACAGCTTTGTTCCTCGGGATTACCTTATTCTGTGAAACGACTCACTTGACCCAACTCCTTCAGGGAGAGAGTTCCAACCCTTGGATGAGCTTTACTTTCGGAACCCTTAGAACGTCCAGGGAATCGAACACCTGGTCTCTTGCAAAACAAAATCAACTCCAACCAATTAGAAAAAACGAATTATTAACTCAGAGATTAAAGAAATCTTAAAATTTAAACTGTAAACTATAAAAGTGTAAATTATTCAAACTACAAATCAATGTTAGGCTTGATTGGATTTTTGAAATGCATTTATAATATTTAATTTTTTACTTGTTTATATTCAGTTCCTATAGAACCTAGACTAGATTTATGGAACGTTTGTTTCTTCTGTACCCTTGTTTTGTTATCATTAATCAAGTGTTGGTTTTAGCCGCGGGTCGCGACAACCGACTTCCATTTCATTCCGTCCTCTTTATACAAAATTTAATTATAACGGATTAAAAATAGCAATGCTCCCGATATAGATTACGCTTCACTTTGATTAAAAAATAATAAACTTAGGTATGGGACGTTTTTTTTATTCATACGATCCAGAGCGGAGGGGGTGGGTTGAGTGAAGAACGGATTTCCATCATCGCAAAAGTTACACTTATGATGATTAAAAATATCTGGCCAGTTGCCGGCAGAACTGTTCGTTTATTGCTTCTTCCACCCGCCCGACTAACAACTGATAATAAACTCAATTGTAGCACCTTTTCTCAAATTAACCATTGGATCAAATTGAATAACCGTAAAGCTGATTCGCATTATTCTATTAGCTAGTCTCAATTTTCCCCTCAAGTGCAGAGAGTAAAAAAAAATCCATCCTTAATCCATTACATTTAAATGTTTAATTATTTCAATTATTATTCTCTACTTATTATTACAAAGAAATAAAGAGCGGTTTTTTTGTATAGTAAAAGGTAATTTATTAAAAGAAATTTTATCGGAAGGAAAATGGGAAATTTATTAGAAAAAGGGGAATTACTAATTAAAGAAAATATATATGTAAATATAGATATATTGATAGACAAATTTTACGCATCACTCCATTTATTTACTTTAAAAATTAAATCCATTACATTTTTACGTTGGCTACAGTTAATTAGAAGCTATCATATTTAAAATAATTATTTGATTAATCCCATTTGCACAAAAAGTACCATTATGCACTTCTATTCTCCCACGCCTAAAAATCGCTTTCAGTTAACCTTTTCCTTCGTTGATTTGATGTGATATTATTTTTATTTTCAAACCTTTTGCATTGACTTCAGTCAGGCATGTGGGTGAGTATGTCAGTGTCAGGGTCATAGCATTATTGGAGGAAGGATACAGCCAGCGCGAAGTCGACAGGAGACTGAATGTAAATCACTCTAGAATAGGAAAGGATTTTAGGCACTTCACTGAACAGGGCTTCACCATAGAAGACCAGGAATGAGATATGAAATCTGATAAGACAAGTCCGTAATGTTTCGTTTTCCTCCAGGAATGTAAGAAGGTTCAATGGAAATAACCTCAGGGCCAGGCAACTGGCTCGTGGACCTCTTTTTACCACAGCTCAGAAAATGACCAGTCTTCAATTCTCACGGGAACATGTGAATTGGCCATGGTGGACGACTTTACAGATGAGATGAGAGTTGGCCTCAAATTTTCAGATGAGTGTAATTTCATACGGAGACGCTCAGGAGAAAGGTGCGCCCCACACTGTATACCTCAGGTGTCATTCGACGGGGTTTTTATATGGCTTTTGCTTGGATGCCAGCACTGAATTGGTTGTTGTGCGAGATTTTTAACTTCACAGAGGTACTTACAAGACATAATCGACGTGCTTCTGTGCCATACCCCCTCAAATCGGTGAGAACTTCTTGCAGGATAATGTCAGGTCCCACAGAACATGTATTCTGGATGACCTGAACGAGGTAAGAATTGAGTGCATGGTGTATCCAGCTCGAAGTCCAAATTTGGACCAAATCGAACTGTGGTCTGGGGGTTCAGTTGGTCCATTTAAGAAACGAGACCGCAGATCCTAACACCCTAGAAGAGTCGGAAACGGCTGTTCTTGATGAATGGGAAAAAATTCTTCAGGTTCTGGATTTAATCAGAATTTTTTTTTCAAGGAATGAAAAATCGTTTAACAGACGTGATTCGTGCCAGAGGTGGAAATACTCGATATTCAAGGGGAGAACAATGTTTTTTTAAAAATATTTTTATTATTTAATTAGAAATCGTGAGATGCGGTCTGGTGTGATGTAGGTTTCAGAAAAAACATTTTCTTTATCGTGCCAACGTATATCATCACATTACATTCCACACATCAAATATTTTTCACTCACTGGCA